GAGTCACACAGGAAAAGTAGTCAATCTTGGGTCATTGTTTGGTGCTCACTAGATTTGATTTCATTGCTGCAGAAAGAGATACAGAAAAAAGCAGGCATCCTTACCTCTTTTCTGTCGAAACTCATTTGGGGGATAAGTAGTTTGTGCTCTTTTTTTTTTTTTAAGAAGATTCTCCTTTAATTTGTACAGCAAGAATTAGGAAATCATAAACTTTCAGTTTCTAACTTAAAATGAATCTGATAAATGTTTGCTAAACCAACAAGGGCAAAGCACCAGCTGGAAAAGTCGTGATGGAAGGGTCATTTTGACACACCTTTAATTCTAGGTCTAAACAACTGAGACAATCCGATACTGCAAGCCTCCTGATAGGGCACAAACCACCTACAAGGCATAACACATGAAAACAAGGCCTAAATAATTCAGCCTAAATCTATTCAAGCATCCACATCCTTCGAGTTTTCAGAGACAACAAGGAGACAAATGAGCTGAATATATAGCTGGGGCCGAACTTCATAATTTTGCATGAGGAAACATGGGGGAGGGGCATTGAAGGAACCTTGTTTCTGTGACATCACATTTAGACTGCATGCTAGAGGCTCTGAAAAACATTAGGAAAAGCTGTGGATTTGCAAACAATTACAAAAAAATAATTACTGCTCATAAATGTTTTTCAGAGATTGGGTACCTAGTTTCTGGCTCTCACTTCCATCCTACAGCAAGCCTTCCTGCGAGGGATTACTTTTATCATTTTAAAAGTGAAGAACCCACGACATCAGGAAAGTTAAAGAACTTCTTGTGAGCACCCAGGACATCCAAAGTTCAATGTCAAGAGTTCTCTACTTCAAAGCGGCAAGTTCACTGATGAGAGTACTGTTTGCATTTCTTCGGTGAATGCTCTTCATTCTTTGCGATGTGTCCTTGGTCTGTTCCTGGTACTGGCCTGGTACTGGCCTGCTTCAGATTTAAGACTCTAAGACTCACAACTGTTTCATAAGCCAAAAAGTAAAAGGCTGTCAATCACTGTATAACATTGTTTTATCTATTAAAACTGTGTTTACTACTTAGTGAAATAACTTCACTAATACCACTTAGACACCATTTTTTATTTTTATTTTTTTTACTGTTACACAGACTTTATTATTTTAACATAAGTTTTAAAATCGATTCTTTGGAAAATTCACATCATGTACCCGAATCCCATTCATTTCCCAGTCCTTCCGCTCTCCACCCTTGTAAACGCCCCCGCCCAAAGAAAACATCAAAACCAAAATTAAGATTAAAAACATCTCACTGACCCCTGGGGACAGCACTTGCTCCTCCCTCTATCAGTTGCAGCGTTCTCTCACACCAGTCACAGCTCTTGTTGTACTTGCCTCCCACTCAGCTCCTCCCTTTTACCCACCTGTCCATCACACATTGTTTGTCATAGAGGCACTGGGAGCTATGGTGTCACACAGTATACTGTTTTGCACAAACGGATTTCATTGCAATGAGTAGTTGTCCGGTCCAAGGCCTCTGGCTTCTGCTATACCATCCCTATTGGATCCTCACGGAGACTCTTCTCGGATATCCTGGTTTTGTCCAGAGGCATGGAGATCCTGCAGCTAATGGTCCGTAGAACTGAACCCTTCATGTGCTTTAGTGGCTCATAGATGGGGTAGTAGTTGAGGAGGGCCTACGGTGCTCTCTGAACCGACCGAGTAAGGGTTAGGGACAGTTCACCATTTGTGCTGGCCATCAAGGGGCAGGGACAGCTCTTAGATACTCAATTTTAAACCATGAGAATCTTCCTTTGGTAAACGTGCATACCAAACATAAACATTTTTATGCTTTGGTTTTCCAAGCATCATTATAGGTATATACCATTGCCCCTGTGACTGGTTAAGTATGCATTTTTAGACACATGTCACTCCCATCTTCATTTAAAAAAGTCATATTTGCAGAGAAAATTGCCCAAGAATTTCTAAAATTTCTTAAAATCTGAAGAATAACTTTTCTAACTTGCGTTTCAGTGAATATCTATCAAAGTCTGAGTTTCTTTGCACAATTTCCCTTGTCTTATCACAGGGCAAAATATAATTGAGGTCCATTGGTGCTGGGTTCCTAAATCAATTTTACAGTGAAATAGAGGTGAATACAGTGAAATTGAGCTCCATATAGCTTGCACAAGCCAAGGCGCCCCCGATTTCAACAGCTACATACTCAGGTTTCATTTTGCAAGTTTCAGGGCTGAAACTTTTGATGTTTTCATATAAAGCGATAACGTTTTCATAGCTGCTGTCAGCAAAGCCCGAGGTCATTGACCAGATCTAGTGTCTCAGTTACAGAGACGATGGAATGTGAGAATGAAAAATGATTGCCTTAAGATGGTTGAAATATTATAGCTAAAAAATGACTGCCTATCACAGGCTTGTGGAGGTAGACTCATGCTAGTATCTTGCACTGCGCACACTCTTCAACTGGGTACTATGCAACCGTGTACCACTTGTTCCCACCTTTTCCTTTTCCTCACATGCTATATTGAGTGTCTGTCATACACTAGAAATTAGTGTTTGAAAACCATTAGAAAATAAAATAATGACTGCAGGCTGGAGGGTGGCTCAGCAGTTACTGTATCTGTTCCTCCTACAGAGGACCTGGGTTGGATAGTCATCATCTGATGCCCTTGCTGATCTCTGCGGACGACAGACACTCATTCGCCTGGTGCCTATGTATACATGCAGGCAAAACACTCAGGTGCATAAAATAGCAAAATAAGTATTTAAAAATACATGAAGATTACATGTTCATGGTGTTTGGTTTTTAAAGAAGGACAATTTAAAATTATAAAAATGACTCCTGGGAAACTGAAGACATTTTAGATGAACATACAAACAGGTTGACAGTGTTGAAATAAATTATAGTTTTTCCAGCTTCTGATTTAGACTCTTCAGAAAGTTCACATTTGAATTGAAAATCTGTTTTTATACATTACCTGAATAAATTATGTGTGTATGTACACATGTGATGCTTTTAGAAACCAAAGTACAGTGCAAGCTATCTCTTATAAACTATTCTGTATTCATCAAGGTGAAAAAGAAAAATACTATGTCTACTTACGATGATGGCAGAGAAACATAAAAAGATCATTTACATAGAAAATGAAGTATAAATGAGATTTATAATTATCTTAGTTGTATGTCTCTAGGGTGTTCTTTGTAGTCTAAATGACCTTTCACTTAGCATGTGTCTTCTTGGCCAACTAAGCTGCCTTTGCTGGAAGTTAGGTATGCTACAGATTGTATTTTTCCTCATTTTAAACCTTGGAGAGCAAGAATGCACATAGTCATTTTGAACTTGCAAATATTTCCCTATATTCTTCTGTGGAGAAAAATCTATTATTCTACACGAGAATTTTTTTTTCTTTGCTTGATCTCACATGCTAAAGAGTATATAATTCCTCAGAAATTTAAATGGCTCAGTGTGCTCACCTTGATTTGCCTCTGTCGCCTCACAGTCACATACAGTAGCTTGCATTAATCAAATTAATAAAAGGGGATTAAAGCTGCTCGCTTCTAGAGGAGAGATGTGCCATTGGTATTAATATTTGCATTTTGAATGACTGTCCTTGAATGTTAATTATACACTGTGTGGGATAAAGGGACAATCAAGAAAAGAGATTCTAGCCATGTGTTAATTCTGAAAAAAATCCAGTAAAGGTTGAATTGCATTGTAACTCGTTTTCTAATCAAACATTGACTCAGATTGGCATAGACAACAAATCCTCTAAATCCACTACCAGTGGAAGTGAGGATAGATTCTATAAGACTAAGGTACATAGTAAGTCACAATGGAAACGGATTCACTACAAACTAGGAGTTGTAACATTCACAATAGGAAGACTATCTCTTTGGTCATAATGTTGATCAGATAATTGGTGTCAATCTAGTTGGTAGGTGTGTAAGACTGGAATAGGAGTTGAGAGATAAAAGAAAAGTTCAGAAAGAGATTATTGCCTGTAGCACACTTCTTTTATACAATGATCTCTTTTAAAAAACAAAACAAAACTATATGCTGCCTCTAATGGATGCCATACCTCAGCTGGCCATTTTTCCTTTTTTAAGGCTATCTATAAATGTAATAATGTGGTAAAAAGAACAGTTGGTCTACTTGTTATTGTCTATGTCTTGTCTTTTAGTTCAAAGAAACAGACACTTAAGCAGAAGACAGACTTGTTTTGAGCTCCTGCCCTGGGTGGAAACCTGGGTAGTGCACAGACTTCTACAGCTCTCGCCAACAATATCAATTCTGTAGACACGTGAGACTACAAGAGCGTTGCTTGCTACAGCAAGGGTGTGAGGCCAGATGTTAGTCAGCAGCTTAGTATTCAATACAATGGAAGACTTGGTTTTGTTCATTTTTTTTTTTTTTTTTGGCATCTGGCAAAGAAGGGAATCTTGATTGTTTTCTCCATTCCCTGCCACCCTTTCCTTGGGACTGAAGATTTAGCCATCTGTGATGGGAGCCTGGGGAATGAGGAAGCAGAGGAAAAGAGAAAAAAGTGAGGGAGATTCTTATTTACAGGCACCTTTGAGGTTCATGCCATGTGAAGTTAAAGCTGCTTCGTTGTATCACATTTTTCCCAGAACTTAGCACACAAGAAGATATAACTGCATAGAATAAGATCCAGAGGAATTCAGAAACTCATCTGAAAGAGGTAAAAGAAAGCCTCATGCCAACATCCCTCCATGAGTGCTAGCTGCACCAAGTCTGATATGACCACATTATTGTTCATTACAGCAGAGAGAAAAGTAAAAGAGCCGAGCTATGCAATGGGTACCTATAAGGAAGGACATACTGTGCTCTCTTTGCCCATGACAAACTTTGACCTTACTGGCCAACAGCCAGTCAGGCTTGACTTTAGCAAAATCAGAATTATTTGTATGTTGAAATCATTTCCAGGAATAACTTTGAAGAGCTAGGCTGACCTTTGCATAAGAATCAATCATGTAGAATAGTTCCGCCCATCAAATCAGCAGTTCTTGGACACCGCATCCATGGATGGGAAAAGAGGCCTTGAACCTGTCCTCGCTGGTGAGGTGGGTTTCTCTTGTTTATAGTAACCTAGTTTGTGCTCAGTGTGAATTTTAGAGTCACTTTCTCTGTAATGTGTGCATATATGTTCTTTCTTTTCATTGAAAAAATTTTCATATAATAGATTATAATTACACTTTATTCTTCCCCATCTTCTTTCAGATCCTTCCCAACAAGTCAACTACATACCATTTCTTTCTCTCTCTCTCTTAAAAAAGCCCAAACTAACAAATACAATAAAAACAAGCAAACAAACCAACACCAACACATACACACACACACACACACACACACACACACACAGAGAGAGAGAGAGAGAGAGAGAGAGAGAGAGAGAGAGAGAGAGAGAGA